ATAACAAACACAAATACTATTTTAAATGATTGATTAATATCGATTTATACGAACCAGACATTAATGATTAATTATTCTTTAATAACCTTTTATATACAATATATGTGTTAAACGATCCATGGCCTATCTAAAATTCGATAATGAACTTTATATTATTAGTGCTGCGTGCTAATAAATATTCTGGGATTCAATCCACCCAATCGTGGCGATAACATATTTTTGTGCTCGGCCGGTTTTAGGTTTGAGTTTGTGCTTCAAAAGTGGTAAATCGGGTGCTAGTAAAGCTCTTGCAGGCAACTGGCTCCTTTTGCCAACTGCTTTTGGTTTAGGCGCTAGCTCACATTTGGAACTGGCACGGGTACAATCGTAATATCCTACGAAGTCAGCATGCTATATTAAGTCGCAAAACTCGTTTAATATCTTGACGATATTTAAAATATATGGTTTTAGGTTTAGGCGCGGCGCACCGCTTATATGTTATTATAGCTTCTTCATTTTCTGTTTTCAGCGCTGTGTTGCTACACGCTGTATAGCATGTGGGTCAAGCGCGGTGCCGCGCCTAAGCAGCAAAAGAATAATTTATTTATTTTAAAATTTATTTTTGTATCGCAAAAATGATGTAAAGTTTTTAATATGACGTAGAATTAAAGCTATTTCCGTACAGCCTAAGTATGCTCGTTAGAAAAACTATGAACATGCAAGCTTTCTTAAAAAATTTTGTTAGTCGGCTGACATCTTGGGTTGTACTGGATGTAACAAGTTTATTATCGGATGTCTACGTATATTTATTATGATATAATTATTCATTGTAATGGCAATAAAATTTAAATTTTGTTTTACTAAAAAATTTTGTTTTACTACTTCGTAGCACTTGCCATCGGGCCATTCACATAGCCACGTGTATACGCGTACTGCGTGACGCGCTTGTTTCACAAGTTGAATACTACAAGCGAGAGGGCTCCGGTTAGAGCAAATCGGGCCATTAACATTTCGAGAAGAAATTAGAAAGCGGCGCGCGCTACTTCGAAGAAATTTAGACGAGTAACATCCGTCAAAAAATGTTTCTTGCAACCACCTTTAATAAATTTGCATGGTTGCACCATCGGACCGCGCCAAATTTTAAATAAAGGATAACAATAATTAATAAATAAATAAACAATAACAAATCAAAACCTGAGCCGTGCGTTTTAAAATAATGATCGCGATAAACTAGTATTTCGATAATAATAACCCATGTGCAATTTCTTTCAAATAAAACAACTCAGTCGAAGACCGGAAATTTCGAAATTGGATGTTAAACAAAAAGGAACTCTTTCAGTGCGCTGTAAACAATAGTTCTAATATAAACTCTGCACTGCAAAATCAACTAGGTTGAATAGATTCTGTCGGAGAAGCTTTCTTTGGGATTTTCTTCCACCTCCAAATGAGTCATGTAGCTGTGGATGATATATTCAGGAGAGCAGCCCAGAGGAAATTCCGTAACTGATATATATTAACTTTCTGTGAGACATTTACCCAAATGGATAAGTTAAGTTTGACATCTTTGAGGGTGAAGATAATTTAAAGGACCATTTAATTCAAACTGTGCATTAAATATTCATCTTTGTAACATCCTAAACAAGAGTAATAGATGTGTAGCGTTATGATTAGTTGTGATTAGATCGTTGTTCATCCATCCATGGAATGAGGTCAATATCAACAGATGGTAGTGGCTTGCTTGTTCCCTTTGATATTCCCAAAAACCTCCCACAGACAGGAAAACCGTCCTTGGGAGGCACATTATAATCTTTGTTGTGCGTTGTCCCATAACATCTAATCGAATCAGAGTATCGTTCTTTTCTCTTATCAGCAATTTTATTAGCGTGACATTCAATTCCCATTCCACCAAAAGTTAAGAAAAATATGGGAGTGAAGGTACTTTCCTCTACTTTAATTTATGTCTGAGGAGGAGTATACTGTCTTAAATATAAGAGTCGAGTAAGTGCCAGTCTGAGTAGAATGAATTAACACTAGTATTTTGATATTATTTACTATGATACAGTAAAACCCTGATTTACCGCGGGTTTGGGGAATGCTAAAACCTGTGGTAAATCAGGGTTTGTGGTAAATCAGGGTTTGTGGTAAATCAGGGTTTCGGTTTTGGGGTCCAAAATTGGCCAAAAAAGGGTGGGAAAAGCGTTTAATCCATTGAGGGGATATTTCTGTAGTCTTACGATTGTACTCAGTAACTTTGATTGAAATAAATTTTCGTGCACATACAGAATGAATGGTTAATAATTTAATATATATGTAGACCAAGCTCTGTGCACGGGATGCTTCCTGGAAGAATCCAGTTCTTTTAGCGGGGCACCCTACCTAAAGCCAAATTGAGATATAATAATCATATTCCTAGAGAAATAATCAGAAATCGAATACCAATCAAATAATATGATATATATGAGTAGTAACCATATTTACTATGCAAAATGCCCCAACCACATAGTGTAAATTTATATAGAATTCAAATCCCATATCATCATTAAACCTCAATACCTAGTCAATATAATAGCCCAAGCAAAATTAAATAACTTCTTATATACCTTACTGTCATACTACAAATTAATTAAACATTTGAAATCTGTTGACCAGAGAATAAATTTCTAAGCCTAATGCAAGTGAAATAATTTAGATGCAATTATGAATGCCTAATGTGAGTATCATTTGTCAATGTCCTTGTAAAAAAGTCTGTACAAGAGATATGAGTAACTAATATAGAAGAAAAAACAGGAAGTTGTCGTCTGTTGTAAAATAAATAAAATATCTAGAATATAAATTAGAATATAAAATAACATTCAGTCAATGTGTCGTCAATAAACTGTACAATTATCAAATGTTAAAACTGGGTGATACAGTCACCAAAAAAAAATACTAAGTATGATAAGTTAATAAATTAAATGTGGTCTATAAAACTACCACTAAGTATAATAGGTCAATAAATTAAAAGTGGTTTATAAAACTACCACTGTGGGAACCCCTTCTCCAGTTAAAACATGTCAGTCATGTGCAAAATCAATCAGAATGGTAAGGTGGTAAAAAAAATGCCTCAGATTTAAAAGAATTAGAAGTTACTTAGTTATCGGCGACTATGATTGCAGTGTAAAATTTGTCATATGAATTGTCGACGGTATAATTAGGGTCTGTTGTTATAGATGATAGTAGCTGTTTCTTATACGAATCACTAAAGCTTTTAACATCGGGCAGATTTCGTAGATCTGTTGGAACATTATTCCAACATTTTGCCCCCAAGTATTGAAAGTTTTTATGTGATGTTGATCTATTGACATAAAGGTTGCAGCTTTCGCCGCTCCTACTACCTCCTGATATGTAACTAAATTTGTTCATAAAGTTTGTAGGACAATTGTCATGGATGATTCTAAACATATAATTTGACAGATGGAGTTGTCGTCTAAGATGGAGTGGTAACCATTTCATGTCTCTATAAACATTAAGGCTGCTCTCTGTTTTTGGAACGTTGAGAGCTATTTTGGCTACCTTTTTGTACAGAGTGTCAAGTTCAGCAAGTTTTGTCTTGCCAGCTCTACAATAGATCGTGTCTAAATAATCGAATTGTGGCAACATGAGTGCATTGGCAAACATTTTCCTATATTTAATGGGTAGCAGTGCTTTACTTCTATACATGGCACCAATTCTCTTCATGACCTTCCTAATAATATAATCTACATGGCTTTTGAAGTTTAATTTACTATCTAGAATGAGGCCAAGATATTTTGTCTCTTTGCACTCCTTGATTGTGAAAGTTACCTCATTACAATCAATGGTTATTTCATCATGTTGGTCAACAGAATCAAACAATAGGAATTAGAATTAGAATTAGAATTAGAATCAAATTTACACAGCAATACAATAAGAATAAAAATAATTTAAGAAGCTTCAATCTGCTGTGCAGGACATTCAAGTCAGTCGAAAACTGTTAGCAGAACACCCTTCTAGGGACATAAGGATATAGTATGTAAACATAATGAGTAATAAATAAAATAGGAATTCAGTCTTCTTTTCATTGAGTGATAATTTATTAACACTGAGCCATTTAAAGATTGTCATAAGTTCTATTTTCATGTTTATAAATGTGCTTCTGCAGGTTTGATCAAAGAATAGTGCACCATCATCTGCAAATAGAAAGGGCTTAGATAGGTTACAGGCATAAATGATGTCATTTATGAAGATACTAAATAATATAGGCCCAACTTATTATTATTATTATAAAACAGGATCTTACAAAAATGATTCTTAAAAATACCTTAATGCGGTAAACTGTACCCTTGAAAAAGATTTTCCCAACATCTGTTGCATGCAGCTATATCTCTAATTTCGTTCAATTCATGCAAGTTGTCCATTTGCAAATTTCTACTACTTAAATCACTTCTTAAAATCGATAACAAGTTCATTCTAGGTCTCCCCAATCTACCAATGAATAAATTATCTGATTCAATAGCAAAAGAGAGAGCCGTTTGGGCTGGGGTGTTCTCCATACTCCTGAGAATGTGTCCAAACATCTTCCACCGCTGGTGTTCAATACGCTTGGATAACTTTTCAACTTTGCACCTTTCATACAATGCTTTGTTGCTTATCATACCTTTAGGCCATTTGATGTTTAAAATGGACCTGAGGTGTCTACGATGGAGTGTGTCCATTTTCTCCATGGTTGCTTTCTTAGGACTCCAACTATTTGAGTTGTAAATCAATACAGATACAACTTGAGCATCATATAACCTCAGCTTTCTTTCAAGGGAAATTTTCTTACCGGACAACCATACTTTTCCAAAGTTCTTAAAAGCAATCTCAGCTAGGATTCTCCTTCTTTGAATGTCCTTCTCAGTACAGGGTAAGGAACCTAGTGACTTGTTACTTCGCCATGGTTCGTTATTAGCTAATGGCTGACCGTTTGTGTCTTTATCAGATTTTTTCGCCAGGTAGAAGGTACTGAATTCAGTTTTACTTACATTTACTTGGAGGTTCCAGTCTTTGAGAATCTCCTTCACTGTAGGAAGGAAAATTCTCAGTTTCTCGATGTCCTCGTCAGCAAAGTCACAATCGTCTGAATATTCCCACTCAGTTGGAAAACCTAGTTCTGATACTGGTGGGTTTGGTCTCCCAGATACAGCTCTGAGGTGGTGTAAGGCTGCTGCAAGAATAAGTGTGAATAGCTTTCCAGATAAACTGTCACCTTGAAAGGCTCCGAGTAAACTTTCAAACTCTTCCGACAGTGAGGAGTTAACACGAACTCTAAGGAGAGTATTCGATAGAAGGTATTGAACTAAGCGAATGTCGTCCTCCGAACAACCAGCATCCTTCAAAACATTGATGATAGTGTCCCTTTTCACGGTATCAAAAGCTCTACTCATATCAATACCCATTTTGCTAAATGTCCATTTCTTCCTCATCACAACAGATATTAGCATTCTCTGAGCCCACACAATGTCAGAGCAGCTCCTACCTCTCTTGTAAGCACTCTGCCATGGCATGGTGTAGTTGTCAATTCTACTCTCAACCCGTTTTAAGGCAATTTGAGTGAGCATCTTCCTTGATCCGTTTAACAGTGTAAGTGGTCTAAGGCTTGTGAGGGGACCTTTAGGTTTACCGGGCTTCTGTAGAGGAGTCACAATACCTTGTCCTATTGAACTTATGTATTTGTTCTCACTAAATGACTCGTTAATTGCCTCAGCATACTTCTCAAAAGTGATTAATACTTTAATAGTAACTTAATACTTTAATAGTATCAACATCGTTAGAAATTCAATCAAATTCTTGCTTTCTTTGCAGTACATTGCAAATCGTATCGAAATCTGTAATTATCACTAGCTATAAAAATTGCATCTGTATGATCAGATTGGATCAGATCACATGTTTTCCTTGTAGCATGAACTGACCCTTCTCAAACACAGTGGTACCCTGTCATAGGAGTACTGTCAAGCATCACAGCAGCAAAGGCGTTATATGAGAACATGGTCACATGATTTTGTTTGGAAAACAAAGCTTGCATCTTGCTCATGTATACATTGAGCACTACAGCAAGGGATCATGTATCAAGTCAATCCATCCCTTTAGTCTATACATTATGAAGCGATCTAATTCCACTATATCTAACCGAGAATCTGCTTCTACTAATCAAAAACGTCTAACCATTGGACAGAAGAGAGAAGTGATCCAAATGTCGAAGAGCGGCAAATCCTCAATCCTCATCTTCAGTTGCCCAACACTTTGGAATCAGCAAGACAACTGTTTGAAACATCAAGAAGAAATGAGCAGAACTGGACAGATATGAGATCACCTTTGGTTCCCCGTCCCCTGCTTGTCGTTGAAATGTCCTTCTACAGACAGCGTCAACCAGGCTAAAAAATAACCTTTTTAAAAAAATAATTTTCTCAAAATAATTTTGAAGAAAAATTCAGGGGAAATGGAATACCCGCGCGTAAATCGGGGGGTTTGTGGTAAATCGGGGGTTTGCGGTAAATCAGGGTTTTACTGTAATCCGTCTTCATAATCACGATAATATGCTATGCAATTTCTAAACATTTTATTAAATGTCATGACATTCTCACGTTATTAGGAGGAATGTAAAGGGAGAAGGGCCATGTAAAAGAGCACTGATGACACAGCCAGCCAGTCCTCTTTCCGCACGATACGACAACTACACCAACATCAAGAGATCCATCATTAACTCACAGGTCAGATTTGAATATATAGTCTATTAATGCTTTTCATACAAGTTACAACAAAGTCTATATGTTATGTAGCCTGGGTTTGTACAGGCTATTACCCGCTTGAAATATTTCCATCACGATACACAATACTGAAATATAATATAATTATTTTGTTTGTGAACTTTTGCAAAGTTACTCAAAATGCCCCATTCTCATTAGACAAGAAACGTCCATAATGTTAAGCTCCGAAACCCACAATCAAATTCACGATTAAATGACTGTATGTTATAACATAAGACTGTCAATTGTCAATGGAATACTACTGTCAAGTCCAGCAATGGCCATTAACGTAGGGAAGGAAAAAAAAACGGTAATTATACCCAGCCCCATATGCGACTGAGATTCTGTAATTAATTTTTTGTACAGAATCTTAGTAAATCACTTAAGTAAATCAAGTTAAAAACGATTCCAATGTCTGAGCTAGTACTTTATTCAATTTTAAACTTAACACAACTCCTAGTATTAATTTATTGCCCTCTTCAATCTTTCGAACTCTAACGTAATTCACCACTTCTGATAAAAATTGGAAAGTTGACCACTTATCTGAGGATCATGTACAGTAACTACCCTGAAGTATTTTGTTAATCATATCAGCAAAATTAATGAGGTGATCGTGTGATTCAACACCGTAATGGGGTTTTCTCAACGGTATCTACCTGACCCCATTTAGTGAACAATATTAACACACTATGCTGGGGGGCTATGCTTGATATATCGGTCATCTGAGTAAGTTACTCAGTTCTAGTTACTCAGTGAGTAACTAGAACTCCATTTTACACACCCAGTTCATTAGAGTACGTTGTTGTACGCAGGATTACACAGGATTACACAGGATTACACAGGATTACACAGGATTACACAGGATAACACAGGATTACACAGGATAACACAGGATTACACAGGATTACACAGGATAACACAGGATTACACAGGATTACGCAGGATTACACAGGATTACACAGGATTACACAGGATTACGCAGGATTACACAGGATTACACAGGATAACACAGGATTACACAGGATTACACAGGATTACACAGGATAACACAGGATTACACAGGATTACACAGGATTACGCAGGATAACACAGGATTACACAGGATTACGCAGGATTACACAGGATTACACAGGATTACACAGGTTTACACAGGATTACACAGGATTACACAAGACCACACAGGATTACACAGGATTGTATGATACAGATACAGTGTACCACTTACCAGTACCTGAGTACCTGGGTGAAAGTGAGTAATGTAAGGTTAACCCTAGCAAATATCAGGGGGATTGTCCCCCGGCCCCACCCCCCCGGCCCCTTGAATGACAGTATATGATTACATAGTACATTCCAAGAATAACAAGACAAAATAGGGTTACACAACATGTACTACACGATACACTATCTGAGTTATGGTATCTGATATAATACGAAATAGAATATCACTGGATAGCTTGATTCTATATTATTACATATTATATTTTCAAATTGGGTAATTTCTCCAAAACAAATTACTTCTGGGGGAGCAATTAATATATATCTTCTCCCCATACTTAGTTGTAACTTTGTGGTAAGGTAAATTTAGCGTATTATTGGGTCGCAAAATTAAATTTTTTAATGATTTCCGTGAAAATCGCCTGTACCACAACATTCATAAGCGAATCTACCGAATTAAAGCAATACGGCGCGGAGGTAGGTCCTACTCTTAAAAAGATATGTTACGTTACGTGCAGGTGTAGTAGCTAGTAGTTAGTGGCTAATATCTCCAGTTGTAGTACACCAAATGTACCGTGTTTATTATAATGGTCTCACTCCTCACGACACACCTGTGTACTATGTAGAACTGGTAGTGTTCACGAGACACTGTCAGTGCGGTTAAGTGCGGTTATTCCTTACTTTCTTTTTACTTTCTATAATTCACATGACACATTTGGGGGTTTATTATATTGCTACTAAAACCATTAAGGGGGCCGGGGGGGGGGGGGGGGGGGGGGGGGGGGGGGGGGGGGGGTCTTCATCAAAATTCTCTCGAAATTGACTTTATAGTTGTTTCTGATAAAAGGGAGTAATATCTACCAGCTGCTTTCGGTCCCATGGAAAAATATTGTTCCTAGCCGAAATTATCGCCGGTCTAAGGTCAGCGCTTATGTGTAATTGTATTGCGCGAGCGATTTTCAATCGCAAATTCTGAAAATCGAGTCTAAAAATCTATATCCTCCTACATTTTTTGAGCAATCACCCTGAAACTTTCAGGATATGTTCTAGGGACCATTTAAAAAAGATCGTTCAAGCCAAAATTTTGAGATAGGCCTTTACAAATTTTTTATTCAATTTTGAAAATCTTGGACCTGAAAAAATCGTAAAAAAACGAGGTCCAAGATTTTCAAAATTGAATAAAAAATTTTAAAGGTCTATCTCAAAATTTTGGCTTGAACGATCTCTTTTAAATGGTCCCTAGAACATATCCTGAAAGGTTCAGGGTGATTGCTTAAAAAATGTAGGAGAAGATAGATTTTTAGACTCGATTTTCAGAATTTGCGATTGAAAATCGCTCGCGCAATACAATTACACATAAGCGCTGACCTTAGACAGGCGATAATTTCGGCTAGGAACAATATTTTTCCATGGGACCGAAAGCAGCTGGTAGATATCACTCCCTTTTATCAGAAACAACTATAAAGTCAATTTCGAGAGAATTTTGATGAAGACCCCCCCGGCCCTCTTAAACGCATTTACCATTAATTGTTACGGCCAATGACCATTGACCACATACATTTGTTGGGGGAATTATTCCCGTAGGTTTGGGTTTTATTGGCTGCCGGACAATTCCACCCAATTTGGACTTTTCCTAGATAGGGTAGCTTGGGAAAATAATTGTAAACCCAATCAGTCGATACTTCAATACCCAATCTTCACTAGAAATCTAGAGACTACATGTAACTATGTAAAGCATAATACATGTACATTGTACATGTAAATCATCACTTTCGTGGATCTGAGAACACCTGCTATGTATAGTGGCCAGGTAAATCGGGTTTCCAAAGTTGTGACTAAAGTCGTCTATTAATTACAATCTTCTGGATTGATGCGCCGGTAATTCTTTGTAAAGATCAGAACTCCACAAAATCAATCAACTTAAAACTTGGCTAAACTGATGTTTAGTGTATTATAAAAATGTGATTTGCTAAATTGTAATATGTGTAGATTTCACACGTCCCTGTATTAAGATAAATCAATTATACGGCAGTGTGGTGTAGCTTGTGTTCTAGATCCTAACCCTGTATTTTTACAGAATCACGCGTGAAATCTGAGTATATTTAGCGTACAACGTTTAGGAATACTTCCAATATTTCGTATTTAAAAGTGCGTAAATGCTTTGCCCGCCCTGTAAAGTTTTAACAAGACGTTTAACAATTAACATTCGTAAATCTAATTTTAGCTGTAATACTAATAATGTGGAAATAGCTGAGTTCTTTATTGGAAATTAGAGTAATTCCAGGAATATTTTCATTTTTCAAGCAAGGTTGTGAAGTAAGTGGGAAGGGGTAAAGGGATACTAAGTTTACAACTCCTTATATGGGCACCACGTTGGTTTCTTCTGCTTCCAGTTTTAAGATCGTTATTCAACGTGTTAGCTCGTTAAGCAACGTGTAAGTTGTACAATGATATATTATGAGTATAACGAGTCATTATATTGGTACTTTAATGGCAGGGAAGTACGTGTGTTGTTTATAACTAAAGTAATAAGTAAACACTGTGTTAAATTGATAATTGAGGACTGCTAGGGATGGAAATGTTCAGATAGAACAAAGTGGAAAATTAAATTAAAACACAGCTTAACTCAATTGAGATCTAATAAACTATTTTATGAATCTTAGTACTATGTTTACAGTACACTACAATGTAAATTTATTTTGTGTAGGATTAGTATAGACACGTTTGAAATTTTTCTTGTTAGTAGTAAAATGCATAAACTATAGAGATAATAGCTAAAGTATATAGCTATAATAACTAGAGGCTTGTAGAGGTCATCATTTAGGTATGTTAGTTTTCAGTACTATATTATTACATTTAATCTTAACAACTCTCCCACAAACGCACAACATACGTGATTAAATGTTACAGATATATATTGGCTGCTAGCCAAGCAACTGGTAATATGCATCTTTTTTTTTTTTTTTTTTTAGAGAGGCTGGGCCATGATAGCCCACGAGAGGATAGCATTGAGATGCTCTGCCTACCTCTGGGGTGTGGCAACCTTGGGGAAGGTTGCCGGTGAGATCAGAGTGATTGGTGGAGGGTGGTGTAGGATGTTATATGAGTCAAAATGATACGCTTAAATGCCAGCTGGGTTTGGAAGAGTAAAACGAGACGAGACAGCATATGAGATAATACTTTAAGTCACCCCGGTCTGATCCAGCTCTTCCGGCACAATTAAGCGTTTGGTGCGGTTTGTGAAATTGACAATTGTGGTGATGTGTTGGTTGTCGAATATGTCATTGACAGAGAGGTAGTAGTCCTGGAAATATTGACCTCTAATTTGGGCAATAGCCGGACACTGTCCAAGGAAGTGTGAGACAGTTTCCTCTCCGTCCCCGCACATAGGACAAGCACTGGTGTTTGATTTGCAAATGGTGTGAAGGTGTTTATTTAGGCCGCAGTGACCCGTGATGAGGTGAACTGCAGTTCTGTAGTCTTGTCTGTTGTTGCTGAGTGTAGTGTTGAGGTTTTTGATGATTTTGGCATGCTTGTGGCCGAGTGTCAGTTTGGTGTGTCTGGGACCGTCAGTTGACCAAGTTTCCTGATTCAGTCTGTTGACTTTGTTGTCGATGCATCTGTAAAACTGCATAGTTGTTCAATGTACACTATTACATCATCAAGTGTGTGTGTGTGTGTGTGTGTGTGTGTGTGTGTGTGTGTGTGTGTGTGTGTGTGTGTGTGTGTGTGTGTGTGTGTGTGTGTGTGTGTGTGTGTGTGTGTGTGTGTGTGTGTGTGTGTGTGTGTGTGTGTGTGTGTGTGTGTGTGTGTGTGTGTGTGTGTGTGTGTGTGTGTGTGTGTGTGTGTGTGTGTGTGTGTGTGTGTGTGTGTGTGTGTGTGTGTGTGTGTGTGTGTGTGTGTGTGTGTGTGTGTGTGTGTGTGTGGGGATATTTTACCCACTATTACCTTTGCGAAATTGTGTAGTTTAAGATTTTATTCCCTAGTACTTAGTTTGATAAATGATTGTGAACTGTGTACAGTATAATGAGTAACGACAGTAAATATTAACATTCGAAAGTTTCAGTAATTTCGTGTTGCGGCCTCATTATTGCGTAATATTCACTAAATTTCGCATAATTGAAACGGTGAAAAGGTCATTCAAACAATGTATACATTCAATCAAATCAAGTGATGCAATTGGCAGACCACAATCAAATTTTTAGTGTTGAAATTGGCAGAGCACAATACATTGCTACCAATAATTTAAAACTTTAACAATCAAATATATATACAAGTTTCAAAACACATGATCTACTCCATTATAGGGGCAGGGATAAGGTTGATGAGACTTCTGATAGATGGATCTTATGTTTGGTGTCCACCTTCTTTCCTCAGAACCCTCGTAGAGCAATAAGAGTTGTTCTCAAGACTCAACTTTGCAAATCTTATCCTCGTTCTCACATGCCTTACTACATCGCAGTATCTCTCCTTTCTTTTTCTGGCTATGAGGTCTTTTTTTGCTATTGAGGTCTGCTACTCTGTTGACGAACTGCTTACACTCTTTAGACATTCCTCCAGATGTGAGGAATACAGCCGGGGCGAAGGTAGCCTTCTCCACATTCAACACTCTCTCCAAGTACTCATCCTTCTTCTCATTTCGTAAACTTCTTGAAGGGTCTTTGTCCTGTTTGATAAGCAATTGGGGTGTGATACCCTAATGCCAAGAAAGGTCTTATCAAATGGAGTCCAAACTCCTTTAGCAGATACGTCAAGCCGAGCTTGGTCACCAGCTATAGTCTTGGGATTGAGGCAGTCACCCTCGTTTACCTTCTGTAGCTGGGGTTCAACTTTCACATCATGACATACCTCACGCAGGATATTGGCCATTGTGTCTCTAATGTGTGGTCATTATCACGTAGCCCCCTAGCTACGCGTATATTTCGCATAATTTCAATGAATTTAAAGATTTAAATTCGTTATCGGTAAATTAGTACTTTTTAAAGTGAGTTTACCTACATATAATAGTAAGATTTGAAAAACTGAAGATGTCATCTGCTATCGGCTATTATTCAATCAAATTGCAATTTTGGAATAATCCGATTAAAATTCGCTGTTAAGTTGAAGATAAAGATATGTTATTTGGACATGTGAATACTACACATGATTACTACGGGTACAACCCCCAAAGTAAACAATTGGAAAGATGAGACCTTCAAGTCTATTTCGTCGATATTTCGAATCGTAAATGGATCGGAATCTGTAATGAATACTTTCACATGGATACCGTGGTTGTAATATCTAGAATGGCGGCCCCCAAAGTTGCACAATCAAAGTTCAGAGTCTTCGATTCAATTAAATCAATCTAGCGCCATGACTACGGCGGAGTTTGCCCAAGTTTCGTGTTTGTTCTGCTAAAGTATTATTAGTTTTGTTCTGTACGTAACGCGCGGCGACTGATCGTCATGAGAAAGCTCACTCCTTAACGCGCTCTGCTTGACAGATTGTGAATTTTGGCGGGAAGCGCGCATTGGAATTCGAGGGTATAGACAATCATAACATTCCGGGTTTCCAGCGCATCTGTTCCATCTCAACTTAGTAAATAAATGTTTTCCTCACGTAACAAACACTCTTCCCAATTAATCCCGTTCCCGTAACTATCTGCCCGATTGCTTCCCCCTGCGCACGCGACAACGCTTGCGCACTTTTACGCCTGTCAGTAACCCGACAAACTACTCACTTCACCTCTATAATCTCCACATAGATATCTCCAGCAACCTCCTTCAGGGTTGCCATCAGTGGCGAAACTTTGCTTGTTGGCGCCCCCCGCTCAGTGACGAAAAGCGCCCCCCTAAAATTTTTTGTCCCTAAAAAAAAAAAAAAAAAAAAAAAAAAGTCGGGTACTTTTTTTCTCGCCCCCCTACAGCTTTTTGCGCCCCCTGAAGCAAAAAAGGGTACCCCAAATATTTTTTTCGCGTCGGCCGAACGCTTAATTGGACAGGGAAATACACAAACAAGGCGTTTTTTCAGTGAAAGGGCCTAAAATTCAGGAAAATTGCGCCCCCTTTATACGGCGCCCCCCCGCACAGCGGGGTCTGCGGGGCCCTAAGTTACGCCACTGGTTGCCATACCCCAGAGGCAGGCAGAGCATCCTCGTGCTATCCTTCGTGGGCCATCTAGCATCTAGGTCCAGCCTCTCTTAAAAAATGTATTTTAACTGCTCTAATTTGCAGGTAAAGAGAAAACTGCTCTCAGAAGAACCTCAAGTAAAGTATGAGATAACTAACCTAGATGAGAATCCTAAATCTCCTCGAACCCCTAAACACCCCCCACTGCTACTTAATCACAGGTATAAACATAATAACATTGTGCTTTATCTCACCTGTCTAACTTTCACCTTGCTAAATGTTCTGGCAATTTTCCAAATAAAATAACATTGTGCTTTATCTCACCTGTCTAACTTTCACCTTGCTAAATGTTCTGGCAATTTTCCAAACATAATAACATTGTGCATTATCTCACCTGTCTAACTTTCACCTTGCTAAATGTTCTGGCAATTTTCCGAATACAATAACATTGTTCTGGTAATCTTGTTTTGCTCTTATGAGTGGGTCAATCATTTATTTTTAATTGTAGTTGACGAAATAGCTTACTTATCATTACCTTATATAAATGAACAGACGTGTCGAAAAGTCTACTACGGGTATATGGCCCCCAGAATATAGGTCGTTTTTTGAGCACTTAGAAACAGGTGTTAAAACTACTTCTAAGCATGTTTAGGGCTGTAAATATGTACATAATAACCCTTTAAATGTTTCTTGGGTAGTTGAAAATAATTATTAGGTTTTTAAGTGTACTTTTTTTTCACCTGTAAAAATACCATTTTTTAACAGGGCCCCCAGAATATAGGTCCAAACATCTGTTCCTAAGTTGTTCTAAAATTGTCACAGACAGTTATATGCAGTCAGAATATGTTGCTGAGACTGTATTGATGATGCCAATGGCTCCAGATACTAAATTGAAAAGGTTTAGAGTATACTTAATAGCAAAAAATCAAAAACTACGGCCCCCAGAATATAGGTATGCAAAAATCGTCCTCAAATACTCCACCTTCATACATTTTGATGATGCCATCTCTTCAGCATATGTTCTTTAACTGTTTCTCATCACTACCCCACATTCCTTAATGCTCAGGGTGACAGAGAAAATGCAGAATCTTGGTCGCTATTTTTTTAAAAAAACCTATATTCTGGGGGCCATATACCCGTAATGAGTAAAATCTTTAATTTTACTTGTTAAAAAGCTTTCATGCACTCATTTAGTAGGGATCTTAACTAAATACTTAAATAAGATTGAAGGAGTGTCCCTAGATATGATTGAGGGGGGCTGTTTTTATCTGTATCAATACAATGTGCACCTCAATGACTGTAAATCAGACATTTTTGGCCGCCAAATTTTTTTAAAGGCCTAACTCAAAATTCTGTCCCAAAACTTAAGGTCATGAGACAATTCTACGTTGATTCTGAAAATTTCATGTGAAAATATTGAAACCCTATTGAGTTCTATTGTTTTGAGCGAAGTCAGTTTGAGATATGGGCGATTTTGTTCATTTTTTGCGATTATTTGAACACAGAATCCACAGTTAGGTAGATATTGAGCTGATAATCATAGAGAATGTGTAATATATGCTTACCTTCCATATAAAGTTGGTTTCATTCAAAAATATTGATATTAGACCAATTTATGGACCAAAATCGATCAAATTTGGTGCGTATGCCCAAATATGGGCATATGGTTTTTGTTTTTATCCCATAACTCGGCCAATTTTTATCCAATTTTGATAAAACTTGATATGTGGGTTCAGGAGACTAGTAGCTACAAGTAGAGCATCCCAAAGCATGGTTTTGGGCATGTTCAGGGTTTTTGACCAACCTATATTCTGGGGGTCGTATAGACCTATATTCTGGGGGCCCGTAAAATTGTGGTGGCCATAACTTTTTTCCAAATTGTCAGTTTGCAGATGTCTCGATGAAAAGATAGCTTAAAATAATACTTATACTCATACCAGTAGTCTTAATGGCATGTGTTGGACAGATTTTTGTCATGACAATTTTTCGCCATATTTACCCCTCTAGAAAATGACAACATCGTTTAAATCTTTCGCTGTCATGACCAAATATACCAAAATACCTCATGTAGGTCCAAAATTTTTATCCAGAAACATAAGTTACATGTTTTACTCCAACCTAGCAGTAACAGATCCCATTAGTATCGCTTATCTTGGTTAGAACTGTATCCACTAACATGACCTATATTTTGGGGGCCACCTATATTCTGGGGGCCATATACCCGTATACCCTAAGAAATCAAAACCTCTTGGATTCCACCAGGGTAACATTCACATCAGGACAACGTCTCATGGAAGCTTTAACAAGATCTAGCCTACAGCAAACAAAATGCAATAAACAAAGTGACAGCAAATGCTATCAGTGCGATAAATCCTGCATGATCAAAAACATTTGCTACCTATTAATATGCCAAATATGTAATAAGTCCTACATTGGGGAAACTGGTACAGTGAAAGCAGGATTAATGAACGAATAGTGTGACATTGGGTTCTCAACCATGGAAATTTAGAAGTCCCTACATGCTGTTCTTTCTGGCTCCATGTGCTAGTTAGGGGTCTGAGGTATCCGAAAAATCATGTTTTGAGTACCCAAAGTGTTCTGGGTGCCAGGAATGAGGTTATTAAAGCGGCGAAAATGACCGATTTTGGACTATTTATGAGCTTTTTTGCCCATTTTTATGAGATAAAGAATCAGGAAAGCTGCTCTAGATGATTGAAATGGTTGATACCAATGAGGATACACCCAACACACATAAATATTCGTGATATATGTGATTTTAATGAGAAAAATATGATCTCAGGGCCCATTTTATACCAAAATTTGCCAAAACCACTCGCACTTGTCAAAGCTTCCTCATTTTAGACACATTTAATGATTATTATGGTATCTAACTTATGGTGGATCTGATAGGAGTATGTCTTAGCTTCATTTTAAGCCATCAATGAGCATGCTGGTGTGTATGAAAGTACTTTTATCCTCCCGTGGCCGTCCATTGATATAGTCTGGGCCATGCGCGCGCGCGCGCGCGCGCTTTTACAAACATGAATTTTCTCCCTCAGTATCTATCTAAATCTTTTAAAGACATGATTTGAATGCTATCCTACTCAGCACATGAGTGCTACAGGATGGTGAAAGAATTTCTATAAAAAATCGTTAAATGTGGAAGATATGAGGTCATTATATGTGTGTGCGCGCGCGCGCGCGCGCGCGCTTTTACAAACTTGATATCCTCAGTCCTTTCACATATACTGAGATTTTGTTTCAAACTTAATTGACTCTGAACCGAAATTGCCAAAGGAAACAGATAGTGTAACTCAGAAAGACCACAAATGTATAGTTTGTGAGATATTGAGGTTATACTCCAAATAATTTACAATGATGTCACACCAGAAAACCTCTATTTTTGGTATATTTAACCTCATATCTTGAACGCGCAGTACTGGATTGAGCTAAACTTGGTCAGGTTTTGTAGCCCTGACTATCCTCGATCATATGGAACAGGAATAAAACTGTTTAGATGTTCTATCTTAATTATATTAGGCACTTAGTTCTGAAAAGTGAGAATGTCATTAATACTGCTTTCACTGGGTAGGTTTAAAAGAAGTAGAGCCTGGGAACACTACAAATCAGTAAGGGATGGCAATAAATCTACGGCCATGGGGAAGCACTACCTAGAGGAGCATGCAGACATTTCAATGCCAAACATACCGTTTCGGTTTATAGTTCGAAAAAGATGTAAAGACTATGTGGACCGTCAATTGTGGCAGTCGGTTCTAATAAAACGTGAAAACCCAGAAATAAATACTCAATTGTCTGAGTCCGTAAATGAAGGTGATTGGATAAAATATACTTGGAAGTTAATGTAATATTGAACTTATAAACCTAGATAATTTTTGATTACTTAGTTTTATGAAGGAGCTATCTTGGTAAAATGTTTGTAGTACTGTTTGCAAAGACGTAGAATGTGAGCCCCACCTACAGACTTTAGACGGGGAGACTTTCTCAACAAGTACCACACTAACAGGAGACAATGCCCACCCTGACGTCCGTGCCAGGGGATTTTATCGTCCGGGACAGAACTCCTATTTCGACATAAAGTTTCTCAATCCCAATTCTGAGTCTTATCTCTCATCATCAACAGAAAAAATATACGAGAGAGCTGAGACTCAGAAGCGGAGGTTATACAACGAGAGAATTCTGAATGTAGAACATGGGAGTTTCTGTCCTCTGGTGTACTCTGTCACGGGTGGCAGCGGGCCAGAAGCGAGAACATTCTTTAGATTATTGTGTGAGAAAATAGCATATAAAACTCAACAAAATTATTCAGATGTTGTAAATTTTTTAAGATGTAAACTTTCATTTATTATCAGGAAGCTGGTTCTCCTGTGTATAAGAGGAACCAGATCTTCTGTCAATTCAGTTGACAAAAGTTGTGAAAGCGACTTTGAGTTCGCATGCTTTGTATCAAAGCTTAGCTAATTATGAGTCCTATGGACTCAATTAATTGATGATTCAAATCTGGTCGATATACATTGTTGTAAATTATATTGTTATATATTATTCTATTTGTTTTCCAAAAAAAAAGTACTATGAGGAATTGTTCACGGCTTGTTGCAGTGTGGTTTCTTTTAGCCGTTATATTTTATGTTTCTTTTGGAAAAATTTGTGATCGTTGTTGTGTTTTAAGATGTTATTTGTTGTTGTTATTTTCGTAGTATTAATAGATTATTTTAACATTGTATTTTTGCAGCTATGTAAGTTTTCAGTACGTCCTGTTTATGACAAAGGCATGTAGCCGAAACGTCGACAAAGAATTATGTTTTAACACACTGAGTGGAGACTCTCATTTCGTCAACTACAATCAAAAATAAACAATAACATTGTGCTTTATCTCACCTGTCTAACTTTCACCTTGCTAAATGTTCTGGCAATTTTCCAAGCATAATAACATTTTGCTTTATCTCACCTGTCTAACTTTCACCTTGCTAAATGTTCTGGTAATTTTCCAAACTTTTCCAAACATAATAACATTTTGCTTTATCTCACCTGTTTAACTTTCACCTTGTTAAATGTTCTGGTAATTTTCCAAACTTTTCCAAACATGATAACATTGTGCTTTATCTCACCTGTCTAACTTTCACCTTGTTAAATGTTCTGGTAATTTTCCAAACTTTTCCAAACATGATAACATTGTGCTTTATCTCACCTGTCTAACTTTCACCTTGTTAAATGTTCTGGCAATTTTCCAAACTTTTCCAAACATAATAACATTTTGCTTTATCTCACCTGTCTAACTTTCACCATGTTAAATGTTCTGGCAATTTTCCAAACTTTTCCAAACATGATAACATTTTGCTTTATCTCACCTGTCTAACTTTCACCTTGCTAAATGTTCTGGCAATTTTCCAAACTTTTCCAAACATAATAACATTTTGCTTTATCTCACCTGTCTAACTTTGACCTTGTTAAATGTTCTGGCAATTTTCCAAACTTCTGAGCTAGATTTTTATTCAATTCAGGTATACACCGTCGCTCTTAAATTTTTAAACACTGCGTGTAACATGACTGATGCAATAGCTAGATATTCTATTAAATATCTCATTAGGATGTTGATGAGAAATCAATTCATATGTTACAGATATAAATAGAACTATCTATATTTTTAGTCGCACATACAAAGGGAATTATCAACTGGCTAATATGAGGTTGACTTTAAAAACACCCTAAGTTACCACTAACTGGTTACTACTGTTGCCTAAAACACTTCCTACCCCAGGACCAACTGCTCAGATACCACACAGCTCCCTTTTAACACCTCCTACCCCAGGACCAACTGCTCAGATACCACACAGCTCCCTTTTAACACTTCCTACCCCAGGACCAACTGCTCAGATACCACACAGCTCCCTTTTAACACATCCTACCCCAGGACCAACTGCTCAGATACCACACAGCTCCCTTTTAACACCTCCTACCCCAGGACCAACTGCTCAGATACCACACAGCTCCCTTTTAACACTTCCTACCCCAGGACCAACTGCTCAGATACCACACAGCTCCCTTTTAACACTTCCTACCCCAGGACCAACTGCTCAGATACCACACAGCTCCCTTTTAACACTTCCTACCCTAGGACCAACTGCTCAGATACTACACAGCTCCCTTTTAACACTTCCTACCCCAGGACCAACTGCTCAGATACCACACAGCTCCCTTTTAACACCTCCTACCCCAGGACCAACTGCTCAGATACCACACAGCTCCCTTTTAACACTTCCTACCCCAGGACCAACTGCTCAGATACCACACAGCTCCCTTTTAACACTTCCTACCCCAGAACCAACTGCTCAGATACTACACAGCTCCCCTTTGGTCTCGCCAACAAAGCCCCGCCACAAACCCCGGCTACTCCCAAGACCAGTAAACGTCTGAGAAGCGACAGCTTCAGGAGTGAGAGGAGTGAGAGTTTTAGGAGCGAAAGAAGTAACAGTTACAAAAGTGACGGCTGTACATCACCTCTAGATTCACCATTTTACAGTGAGTTCTTAGGGTACAGATTTGCTCTGAGTTGGGACTTTGAATTCAATTTTTTTACCAGTTTGATTAAATACTCAATACAACTCGGTTTGAAATTGTCCTGATATTGATGCCATGGTATTTTGTTGTCATGTTGACACCACTACTTGTTGTCATGGTCACACTTACAGGTCCAGACAGCACCCCCTCGCTGAGTGGGGGTAGTCGATGTAGGGCGTCTAAATCACTCGGAGCTCTTACCGGCAGGTCAGATTCCTTATGTTATGTGGTTAATTTCTGTATCAATATGGTCTGTGATTGTTTTGTTAATATGGTCTGTGTTAGTATGCTCTGTGGTTGTCTTGTTACGTGGTTAATATATGGTATGTGTCAATATGGTCTGTGTTTACATTGTTCCGTGGTTAATTTCTGTGTTAGAATGGTCTATGTTTGTTTTTTGGTTAATATGGTCTGTGGTCAAGGTGTTCTTTGTGTTATTTTCTCACTTCTGTGTCGATGTATTCTGTGTTTATTTTGTTTTGTTTTTATTTAGTCCTGTGGTCAATTTCGACTCAGGTTCATTTTTCCTGTGGTTTCACTGAAAGAGCTTCTAGCAGCTTTCCGCTTTGGGAACCCTTGAAAAATATCTGAGGTAAGTATTTGGATTGATTGTGACATTTTTGACAAAAGATACGAACACAGTAAACAACTGGTAAAGAACTTTGTATTTACACTGTAGATACACATTACACGGTGTTCAATACATGAAGTAAAATGAATAGTGTTCAAACCAAAGGATGGAAAGTATATAGTATGGTAAAATGTGAATTATTATTGTATAATTATTGGTTATAACTGATAAATTAATCAAGAAAGGGGTACAAATTCGCAGCTACTGGAACAAAAAACGACACTAAAAGCAGATGACAGAATGGAATAACACAGAAACATCAGGCTTCACTACACGTTTGGGGTCACAAAAACAACTTAACAAATAAACCTAAATGTGATAAACCTTGTGTCAAGTCAGTAGAAGATGACAGTAAAACTGACTTCCCAATTAAATTAGAAACGAGCGCTACACTATGGAGGGGGGGGGGGGGGGGTTCCTGGCCTAATACTCACGCGTGTCGAAGCAGAGAGGTCGAGTGGAGTAGGAGTAGTTGATACCCCTCTTACAGCTGATGACCTCGTCTCCCTTCAGGGAGTACCCCTCCCCACAGGTCACTGTCACTCTGGTACCGTAGATAATGGGGTAAGCAGTGTCAGTGGAGAGATGGTTCTCCAGGAGCGGTCCTTTACATGTTTCTGAGGGGAGTTTATTAATTAGGTGGGCTAATGCGGTTAAGACAAAGCTTCTGATATACTGCAATATAGTGACGCAGATAACCTTAAATCGAGTAACCTGTACCTATACTCCTATAGTGTATAGTACATGTAGGGGGCTGAGTCACTAACCTATAGTGCAAGTAGGGGGCTGAGTCACTAACCTATAGTGCAAGTAGGGAGCTGAGTCACTAACCTATAGTACAAGTAGGGGGCTGAGTTACTAACCTATAGTGCAAGTAGAGGGCTGAGTCACTAACCTATAGTGCAAGTAGGGGGCTGAGTCACTAACCTATAGTACAAGTAGGGGGCTGAGTCACTAACCTATAGTGCAAGTAGGGGGCTGAATCACTAACCTATAGTACAAGTAGGGGGCTGAGTCACTAACCTTTAGTACAAGTAGGGGGCTGAGTCACTAACCTATAGTACAAGTAGGGGGCTGAGTCACTAACCTATAGTACAAGTAGGGGGCTGAGTCACTAACCTGTAGTGCAAGTAGGGGGCTGAGTCACTAACCTATAGTACAAGTAGGGGGCTGAGTCACTAACCTATAGTACAAGTAGGGGGCTGAGTCCCTAACCTTTAGTACAAGTAGGGGGCTGAGTCACTAACCTATAGTACAAGTAGGGGGCTGAGTCAATAACCTATAGTACAAGTAGGGGGCTGAGTCACTGACCTATAGTGCAAGTAGGGGGCTGAGTCACTAACCTGTAGTGCAAGTAGGGGGCTGAGTCCCTAACCTTCAGTACAAGTAGGGGGCTGAGTCACTAACCTATAGTACAAGTAGGGGGCTGAGTCACTAACCTATAGTACAAGTAGGGGGCTGAGTCACTAACCTATAGTACAAGTAGGGGGCTGAGTCACTAACCTATAGTACAAGTAGGGGGCTGAGTCACTAACCTGTAGTGCAAGTAGGGGGCTGAGTCACTAACCTTTAGTACAAGTAGGGGGCTGAGTCACTAACCTATAGCTCTATAGTACAAGTAGGGGGCTGAGTCACTAACCTATAGTACAAGTAGGGGGCTGAGTCACTAACCTGTAGTGCAAGTAGGGGGCTGAATCACTAACCTGTAGTGCAAGTAGGGGGCTGAGTCACTAACCTATAGTGCAAGTAGGGGGCTGAGTCACTAACCTATAGTACAAGTAGGGGGCTGAGTCACTAACCTATAGTGCAAGTAGGGGGCTGAATCACTAACCTATAGTACAAGTAGGGGGCTGGGTCACTATCCTATAGTGCAAGTAGGGGGCTGAGTCACTAACCTATAGTGCAAGTAGGGGGCTGAGTCAATAACCTATAGTACAAGTAGGGGGCTGAGTCACTGACCTATAGTGCAAGTAGGGGGCTGAGTCACTAACCTGTAGTGCAAGTAGGGGGCTGAGTCCCTAACCTTTAGTACAAGTAGGGGGCTGAGTCACTAACCTATAGTACAAGTAGGGGGCTGAGTCACTAACCTATAGTACAAGTAGGGGGCTGAGTCACTAACCTATAGTACAAGTAGGGGGCTGAGTCACTAACCTATAGTACAAGTAGGGGGCTGAGTCACTAACCTGTAGTGCAAGTAGGGGGCTGAGTCACTAACCTTTAGTACAAGTAGGGGGCTGAGTCACTAACCTATAGCTCTATAGTACAAGTAGGGGGCTGAGTCACTAACCTATAGTACAAGTAGGGGGCTGAGTCACTAACCTGTAGTGCAAGTAGGGGGCTGAATCACTAACCTGTAGTGCAAGTAGGGGGCTGAGTCACTAACCTATAGTGCAAGTAGGGGGCTGAGTCACTAACCTATAGTACAAGTAGGGGGCTGAGTCACTAACCTATAGTGCAAGTAGGGGGCTGAATCACTAACCTATAGTACAAGTAGGGGGCTGGGTCACTATCCTATAGTACAAGTAGGGGGCTGAGTCACTAACCTATAGTGCAAGTAGGGGGCTGAGTCACTAACCTGTAGTGGAAGTAGGGGGCTGAGTCACTAACCTATAGTGTAAGTAGGGGGCTGAGTCACTAACCTATAGTACAAGTAGGGGGCTGAGTCACTATCCTATAGTACAAGTAGGGGGCTGAGTCACTAACCCATAGTGCAAGTAGGGGGCTGAGTCACTAACCTGTAGTGCAAGTAGGGGGCTGAGTCACTAACCTATAGTGCAAGTAGGGGGCTGAGTCACTAACCTATAGTACAAGTAGGGGGCTGGGTCACTATCCTATAGTACAAGTAGGGGGCTGAGTCACTAACCTATAGTGAAAGTAGGGGGCTGAGTCACTAACCTGTAGTGGAAGTAGGGGGCTGAGTCACTAACCTATAGTGTAAGTAGGGGGCTGAGTCACTAACCTATAGTACAAGTAGGGGGCTGAGTCACTATCCTATAGTACAAGTAGGGGGCTGAGTCACTAACCTATAGTGCAAGTAGGGGGCTGAGTCACTAACCTGTAGTGCAAGTAGGGGGCTGAGTCACTAACCTATAGTGCAAGTAGGGGGCTGAGTCAATATAGTGACGCAGATAACCTTAAATCGAGTAACCTGTACATATACTCCTATAGTGTATAGTACATGTAGGGGGCTGAGTCACTAACCTATAGTACAAGTAGGGGGCTGAGTCACTAACCTATAGTGTAAGTAAGGGGCTGAGTCACTAACCTATAGTACAAGTAAGGGGCTGAGTCACTAACCTATAGTGCAAGTAGGGGGCTGAGTCACTAACCTATAGTGCAAGTAGGGGGCTGAGTCACTAACATATAGTGCAAGTAGGCGGCTGAGTCACTAACCTATAGTACAAGTAGGGGGCTGAGTCACTAACCTATATTACAAGTAGGGGGGGGTGTAACCCAAAAAAACCCAACTCCTACCCAAGAAAAGGTAATACTGGGATTGGGTTTTTTTGGGTTTTTTTGGGTTTTTTAAACAAAATTCTAGCCATTTCATTAATTGTATTGAATGTGAATTACTTCCCACTGAGTCTTACCTACGTGTTGTTCTCATGTCTTAACTTAATAGATAGTTTACATAGTATATTTAAAGTGTGTTTATATTGATAGTATGTTATCACGATAGCAAACAGGATGTCTCGTTCATCGAGATATAATCCATATGAATGCACAAAGTGGAAATGTGCCAAATGTGGCAAATGTGTTCTCCTGTCATGGGAGGCCATGACGAAGGTCAAGGGCAAGTCAAAGCACATGACTTAAATTACTTGACTTAAGGCGGCTTCAGAGTCCGAGTCTCGATGATGTGTCTCCAAAGCTTTCTGTCCGCCATAAGCTCCTTAATCTCCCCAGTGTTCTTGAGTCCAGTGTCACTTATTAGGTTATCGACGAAGGTGAGCGGTGGTCTGCCCCTCCCTAGGTTCCCAAAGGAGAAGTTGGTGTGCTGCCAGGTCATCATGTCGCTGGATGTGCCCAGCTAACCTCATTCTTCTGGCCTGTATCTTCGAAATAACTCTTGGGAGTGATCCAAAGACCTCCTTGTTGGTGCGATGTTCTCTCCAGTCCACGTTTAGGGCCATCCGAAGCATTCTACTGTAACATCCGTCTATTCTTTTCTTCAAAGATTCTGTTATTGTCCACGTTTGCGTTCCATACAGGAAGATTGATTCAACCGTAGCTTGAACAGACGGATCTTTAAATCTCGGCGCAAATTGGACCTCCATATAGCCTACATTTTGTGGTAGGTAGCCCATGCCCTGGCCTTGCGTAACCTAAAGTTGTGCTCCGTTGTACTAAAATCCTCAACTTCTTCTAAGGCATGTCCGTCTGTGTTCTAAGGATATGTTGGTTGGCATGGGCAAATCAAACCGTTCCCTCGAGCTTGATGCACTCGGCAAAAGTTTGATCCCTGTAACAGTTGCCCACTCTCGCAACAAGCTTGTTATACCGCATCTGAAAGCAGAGAAACTATTTAGAGGTAAAGATACTTCAATCCCAAGATTGTTACAAGCTATGAAGAAGGGAGTCTCAAGGGGTAGAGAACTCCTTCAAGAACACTGTAACTTTGAAGGAGAGGCTTTCCAACCATCTTCTGACGGAACAGAGAGTGACGAAGCGGGAACAGATGATGAAGAAGAGGAAGTGGAGGATATTGACTCATCAGAGGAATGGGCGAAAATAGTAACTGTGTATGGTGATGCTCTGCATCATGATACGGCTGTTGAGGTTTGCCTCAATGGAGGGCGAGATCGAATGCCATCCCAGTCAAGATTTTAGCGACTCCAGGGCCATAAACAAGCGAAGATATCACTTAATATCACATGTGATCATGCAGCTGATAGTAACTGCAAGATTCTTTCAGTTGGAGATAGAGCATGGTTTCTCGTTAAGCGGATGATCAGGAAAACGGAAACAGAGATCGTGAAGGTGAGAAGAAAGGCTTTATTCCTCTCGTACCGGTTGCGGTCAGGGTTGGGGTCATCCTGTGAGTTGCGTCCCTACTAACTCAATTTGCCATGGCCATCGAAGTGAGCATTACATAATACATATGGCTGATATCATATCTGGATGGCCAACTTCTTCTGAGCACATCAGTGAATAAAATACTGCTTTTGGGTGATATTTAAGCGATTATATCTATTGTGATGTTGTAGTGATGAACCACAACAGTGATGTTGTACTGATAATTGTTTTGCTAGGTGCCTACATGATTTTATTTCCTTCAAATGAAAAATTTGTAAAAAACCCAAAAAAACCCAACTCCTACCCTGAAAAAGGTCATACTGGGATTGGGTTTTTTTGGGTTACACCCCCCCCCAAGTAAGGGGCTGAGTCACTAACCTATAGTGCAAGTAGGGGGCTGAGTCACTAACCTATAGTGCAAGTAGGGGGCTGAGTCACTAACATATAGTGCAAGTAGGCGGCTGAGTCACTAACCTATAATACAAGTAGGGGGCTGAGTCACTAACCTATAGTGCAAGTAGGGGGCTGAGTCACTAACCTATAGTGCAAGTAGGGGGCTGAGTCACTAACCTGTAGTACAAGTAGGGGGCTGAGTCACTAACCTATAGTGCAAGTAGGGGGCTGAGTCACTAACCTATAGTGCAAGTAGGGGGCTGCTGGATTGTGAAGGTGGAGCCTCTTACACACGTGATCACTGTACTACCACTCATCACGTGGCCAGCTATACACGTGACCACTACCTCTGTCCCCACTATCACAGGGAATCTGGTGTTTGTCTGGATTTTAGGGATATCCGGCATCTGGTCACACTCGTCTGTAGTGAGGTTGGTTAAAATCACAAATCATAAAACTACAAATCTCTTTCTTTTGTTAAGTTCTAGCGGATGGATTACTGAGGGTTCATGTGCAGTGTAAAGTGATATGAATGGGTCCCAATCCCCATCGACCGTCTACAATAAAGAGGCTTCATTTTCGCTATAATAACCGCGGTGTTTTCATCGATCACAAGCAGAAGCGTTACTGCAATGTTTAATTAAGAGATCACTAGACCTATGAAGATCCAGCCCAATGCTTTCATAATCATTTCATCTTGATGAAAACCGAGGCTATCGGTTGCACACTGTTTAAAAAAATCTCAAATTACGAAAGTCTGCAAGATAATCTAAACGTACCTAGAACACATCTAGGTAGTTGGTTGAACTGGAAGTTGTTTTCTTTAATACAGGTGATAGTTCTATCCCCCTCGTGGGAGTAGCCACTCTCACAGTCTACTGTGACTGTGTCTAGGTACTGTACTGGGAACTTAGTCTCCGTCCGCAGGTTGAAGATGGCCGGGAGTGCTGAGCATTCGTCTGGGACATCCATTTTTTATTAACTTATTTTGTAAAGCAAAAAACAAACAAAGTATACCCTATGGTACAAACATAAATCTGCCATCATGACAACTATTTGTTTTAAACACTGAGTGGAGACTCTCACTTCATCCCCAACTATCAAATTATATGATCGACCCACTCATTTAAAGAGCGAAAAAAGGTTGCTAATATTTTTACTATTATTAATACAAAATAACGCCCTCATCACATGATAGCCCACTTACCTTTCTGACAGACAGGGAACTTGTCCACAGTGAACTGATCGTCCTGTACACAGGTTAGAGTGCGTAACCCTGACGTTAGCGTGTAGCCAGACTTGCAGTTCACAAACACAGTTGCTCCTTTGTTAACAGGGAATGTGGTATCAGCCCACAAGTTGCTGTTTGCTGGCAGTTCGGAGCACGTTCCTGAGCGATTTAAACAGTTGGTTCATGTGGATTAGTGGAATATAAATTATAATATTTAAGGTTTAGGAGATAATATTAGAAAATAAGATTGTATCCCCTTTACCTGCATCGTTACAGCGAGGTTTATCAGTGGAAGCGAACTGAACTCCGCCTGTACACGTGATCACGTTATCTCCTCTCAGTTCCATATTGTGTCCGGGATCACATAACACGGTGACCAGGGCTCCGTACTCCACTGGGAACCTTTGAGTTGTAATCAGGAGGGCAGAGTCTGGGGGCAGTCCTGTGCAGCGCTCTGGAGGAGTGAAATATACATACATACATACATAATATAAATATAAATAAAATATGTCAACGTTGTCAACATCAAGTTCTTAGTTCATGGTTATTAAAATTTCAATCTTCAATTATATAATTATACAAAACTGATGTTTTTAGTTTCATGATTGTTAATTAACCCTCACTTGGATTGCACGTAGGTTCAACGTAGTGAGAGAATTGTTGATCCTTCAAGCACGTGATCATAGTATCACCAGCAAAGGTGTACGCTACTTCACATGAAACAGTTACCAAAGTGCCGTAAGGGATGGGAAACTTGGTTGCAGTAGATAACCCCTCCACTGGTGTCAATTCTGTGCACTCATCTGAAATTAATATTTATTTTGTTATTTAATTATTGTTTAATTATTTATAAATTAAGCCGTCTACTTGATCAGCGTTGTTGTTATCGATTGTTGAGATTTCACGACTCATAAGATATTTGAAACTGAATAAACGCATTTAAAAAGAGAAACTATTGATTGGTATACCGAGCTTGCAAAGAGGTGGTTCTGTGACTTTAAACTCAGTGTCTTTAATACAAGTGACTGTAGTGTCTCCTGATAGAGTGTGCCCAGTCTCACAATATATCTTAATTTCCGTGTCAGGTGATACTGGTAACTGCGTATTTGTTCTTACTTTGTCCCAGCTGGGGTTTAGTTTTGTACAGGAAACTGAAATGATCTTTTTTAGGAATCCAACAAAATAATGGAGAAGGAAAAATGGATCTCAAAAAAAAAGGATAGATATTCTGTCTGTGAACACTGACTTAGATAGAATAGCGAAATTTTGTCAATCCAATAGTAAAGTTTAGAATTATAATACTTCCAACACGTACACTACTATATAACAAATAATTTGACTATGCCATGGAGAATTTCAATGACTTATGAAAGTCGAGGGACCTAGATCTAGTCGCCTGTATTTTTCGTGGGGTGGACCTGTCTACAAACAATGTCTATTTGTTACACAGAACTTGTTTTATTGAATAGTAAAGTTAAAAGTTACCACACTCAGTGTATCCTGTATTAACAGCAGTCCCCTGGGGGCACTTCAAACAAAGTCCTGTACCAGACTCCGAGCTGATAGTACCGGCTGGGCACGCTGCACAGTTTAACATTTCCGTATCTTTATACTGTCCAGCTGAACAAGGCTCTGAAATGAAGAATATCATACTCAGAGGGGACGTGAAACTACACCATCTCATAACATAATATTTTGAAAACTCTTGGAGAGAAGAACCTACTTACCGCAGGAAACTTCATCCGAGCTAGGCTGTTTTCCCATGCCACATTTTTCACATTCAGCCATATCAGCAGCCCTGTAGTGTCCCTCCTCGCAAGTTGCTGCAATGGAAAAGGGTGAGCACTGATTCGTAATCAGCAATGTCCTATTCACTGTTATTACATCATTATCTTTATTCGCGAGCGAAACCCAAATTGTTAGTGGTACTCTTTTTCCACGCTTCAAAATGAAGTCCAACACGACCCCGACATATTCCTAGTGCAGTAATACCCCGATTTACCGCGGAGTTTGGGAGAAAGGAAAACGCCGCGGTTTATCGGGGTTTGCGTTAAATAGGGGTTTTGATTGTATACATTATGTACGTCAAGCCCTATTTGGGGAAAGGAAATGGCCGCGGTTAATCGGGGTTTGCGGTAAATCTCTCACCGGGCACACATTGTGGTTTGTTCTCGTACTGCAAGTCTTGGTAGTGGTAAGTGTTGCAAGTAACCGTGTTACTCCCACTGTTAATATAGCCGTCGTTGCAGGACACTGTCATTGTGGTTCCTTGGCTCACAGGGAACTCAGCCTCTGTTTTTAATCCAATCCAATCTTCAGGTAGTTTGATGCATACTGAAAATATTGAATTTAATTGATTTAATTGTAAATTTTTGGTGGTTTTGTTATTTTCAATAAGGGTCCATCACAATGATAGGGAAATTAAATTGAAATCTATTTTTAAATTAAATGTGATGGAAGTTGTAAGAAAAATGTACCCTCTGCTAATGGTCTAAAGAAGTCTGACACGTTATCTTGTTCTCCATCGTTCACAAATTGAATTTGAGTAAAATCTATGGACCACTTTTTTACACAGTCTTCGAAAGCTGAATCCACCAAGATAAAGTTGAATACCTCCACTCCATTACAACGAAGTTGAAGATTGTTAAGCCCTCTTTCAAAAGTCCAAACTTTGTGCTCGTTGTTATCAATATCTGGCAATGTGAACTGCGGCCGTGGATTTGTCTGCGTGCAAAAGCCGATATTGTAGCTGGGTGGATCTTGAAAATAGATGAAGATTGCAGGATTGTCATTAGAACCTATAAAGCGCACCCACATCATATCAGTTCCGCCAAGAACGGACTTAGTCTTTATTTGGAGCGGGGTCAAATCTATATCCAAATCAATATTCGTGTTTAGAGTTCCAGCTGGAATCCAACCTGACATTTTTTAAATTAATGGATTAAATCAATGAATACGTGCCAAAATTAAATTTAAGTCAATTACCTTACGAGAGATATTTATGTTCGACATAATTCCAGTGACCTAAATGATTTGGGAACGAAAATATGGGGATTTTTTCCGAAAACCGCCAAATTTCGTACCCCAAATTAAATCATGGTATTTGAGAATTTTTTCATCTCTTTATTTTACAAAAATGAAACCCAACATTTGAGAAACTTAAACTTGAATGTAACCATATTAGCTTTATGTTTATTCCCCCTAATCTTACGAACCGATTTCAACCTTTAGACGTATCTGTAAACAAGGCGGCTAAAAATGTTGTAAGGAAATGTCACAGTAAATACTATTCAGTGACGTAAAACATGTGAGGTAAAACGTCAGCTGGCTGCTGGCGTAGGGGCTAATAATGTAGCAGTTGATTTAAGATCATCTGTCTTGAAAGCAAAGCATGTGAATTGGATCGTTGAGATATATAATAAGTTTCAGTCTGACAAGTCACAATTATTGAGAACGGCTTTAGAAAAACTGATATTACTGAGGCTATTGAGATGGTGGAGTTTCCAGAGCAAGACCCATTTTGATTTATTTAACCTCAGCCTCGGGAATCTGGTGTTTCATTAATAAGTACTATTCTAAGTTCTAGTTTATTACTCGTATTTATAACATAATTAATAATATATTAATATAAATATCACTAACCTGACGTTCGTCTTTCGACGTTAATAGAATTTTGTTCTATGTAAATTTAGAAAATTTTAGAAAAAACAGCATTCTAACAGTACCTGTGCTCGTAACAGCTACATCAAAAACTGCTATGTGTCCTGTACTCTTGCTTAGTTTCACAGTGTCTCCTTCAGTGTTACAGAGCAGTGTGTAGATCTGGTCTGACTGGTCTAGTCCGTATGTTAGTTGGAGTGTTCCACAAGACTTCTGCTTTACCTCTCCCTGGTACACTGACACATCCACGTTATTATGAATATCCACACAGGCTCTGAAGTTATCTTCATTTTGTACACACCAGTTACCAGGGTCGAACCAGTTGGTGTAGAACAGGTAGTAGATAACGATCTTGTGAATGAAGTGAGTTTTACTAAACTCTAACTTCAACCAGCCTGCTCCGTTATCAGTGTCAGTTACTGAATAACTTGAGAAGTCCATATCAACTGCATGTGCTGCTGCATATATTTCCTCGTTGTTCTCGAGTGTTTTTCCGTGTGTAACTTTTGAAGGAATTATCTCTGTTACCCCTGCTTTTCTAACTGAAATACTAATTTTAAATTTAATTAAAAAAGATCTTATGCTACGTTATAATTCAAATTTAAAAAATCGAACAAGATCTTATGCTTGGTATGACTTCCTACGTTATCAACAAATTTAAATGATCAAATCCTAGATTTTAACAGTACCTGTGCTCGTAACAGCTAGTTCAGTTACTACTATCTGTCCTGTACTCTTGCTGAGTTTCACCGTGTCTCCTTCAGTGTTACAGAGCAGTGTGTAGATCTGGTCTGACTGGTCTAGTCCGTATGTTAGTTGGAGTGTTCCACAAGACTTCTGCTTTACCTCTCCCTGGTACACTGACACATCCACGTTGTTATGCCCATTCACACAGGCTCTGAAGTTATCTTCATTTTGTACACACCACTCACCAGGATTGTACCAGTTGGTGTAGAACAGGTAGTAGATAATGATCTTGTGAATGAAGTGAGTTTTACTAAACTCTAACTTCAACCAGCCTGCTCCGTTATCAGTGGTAGTTGCTGTTTGGGTCGAGAGGTCCTTATCAACTGCATGTGCTGCTGCATATATTTCCTCGTTGTTGTTGAGCGTTTTTCCGTGTGTAACTTTTGAAGGAATTATCTCTGTTACCCCTGCTTTTCTAACTGAAATACAAATTTTAAATTTAATTAAAAAAGATCTTATGCTACGTTATAATTCAAATTTAAAAAATCGAACAAGATCTTATGCTTGGTATGACTTCCTACGTTATCAACAAATTTAAATGATCAAATCCTAGATTTTAACAGTACCTGTGCTCGTAACAGCTAGTTCAGTTACTGCTATCTGTCCTGTACTCTTGCTGAGTTTCACCGTGTCTCCTTCAGTGTTACAGAGCAGTGTGTAGATCTGGTCTGACTGGTCTAGTCCGTATGTTAGTTGGAGTGTTCCACAAGACTTCTGCTTTACCTCTCCCTGGTACACTGACACATCCACGTTGTTATGCCCATTCACACAGGCTCTGAAGTTATCTTCATTTTGTACACACCACTCACCAGGATTGTACCAGTTGGTGTAGAACAGGTAGTAGATAATGATCTTGTGAATGAAGTGAGTTTTACTAAACTCTAACTTCAACCAGCCTGCTCCGTTATCAGTGTCAGTTACTGTTTGGGTCGAGAGGTCCTTATCAACTGCATGTGCTGCTGCAAAACTTTCCTCGTTGTTGTTGAGCGTTTTTCCGTGTGTAACTTTTGAAGGAATTATCTCTGTTACCCCTGCTTTTCTAACTGAAATACAAATTTTAAATTTAATTAAAAAAGATCTTATGCTACGTTATAATTCAAATTTAAAAAATCGAACAAGATCTTATGCTTGGTATGACTTCCTACGTTATCAACAAATTTAAATGATCAAATCCTAGATTTTAACAGTACCTGTGCTCGTAACAGCTAGTTCAGTTACTGCTATCTGTCCTGTACTCTTGCTGAGTTTCACCGTGTCTCCTTCAGTGTTACAGAGCAGTGTGTAGATCTGGTCTGACTGGTCTAGTCCGTATGTTAGTTGGAGTGTTCCACAAGACTTCTGCTTTACCTCTCCCTGGTACACTGACACATCCACGTTGTTATGCCCATTCACACAGGCTCTGAAGTTATCTTCATTTTGTACACACCACTCACCAGGATTGTACCAGTTGGTGTAGAACAGGTAGTAGATAATGATCTTGTGAATGAAGTGAGTTTTACTAAACTCTAACTTCAACCAGCCTGCTCCGTTATCAGTGTCAGTTACTGTTTGGGTCGAGAGGTCCTTATCAACTGCATGTGCTGCTGCAAAACTTTCCTCGTTGTTGTTGAGCGTTTTTCCGTGTGTAACTTTTGAAGGAATTATCTCTGTTACCCCTGCTTTTCTAACTGAAATACTAATTTTAAATTTAATTAAAAAAGATCTTATGCTACGTTATAATTCAAATTTAAAAAATCGAACAAGATCTTATGCTTGGTATGACTTCCTACGTTATCAACAAATTTAAATGATCAAATCCTAGATTTTAACAGTACCTGTGCTCGTAACAGCTAGTTCAGTTACTGCTATCTGTCCTGTACTCTTGCTGAGTTTCACCGTGTCTCCTTCAGTGTTACAGAGCAGTGTGTAGATCTGGTCTGACTGGTCTAGTCCGTATGTTAGTTGGAGTGTTCCACAAGACTTCTGCTTTACCTCTCCCTGGTACACTGACACATCCACGTTGTTATGCCCATTCACACAGGTTCTGAAGTAATCTTCACTACTTACACACCAATCACCAGGATTGTACCAGTTGGTGTAGAACAGGTAGTAGATAATGATCTTGTGAATGAAGTGAGTTTTACTAAACTCTAACTTCAACCAGCCTGCTCCGTTATCAGTGTCAGTTACTGAATTACTTGAGAAGTCCATATCAACTGAATGTGCTGCTGCACAGCATTCCTCGTTGTTGTCGGCAGTTTTTCCTTGTGTAACTTTTAAAGGAGTTATCTCTGTTACCTCTCGTTTTCTAGCTGAAATACAAATTTAAGATTTAAAAAGATTTTATGCTAAGTATGACTCTATATTGTTATAATACAATAATACCTTGGCTGTTGAGTGCTACGGGCGAGCCTGGCACGATAACTAAGCCAAGGTATTATTTGTTATAATACCTTCCGGGAATTATATCCACTAAAACTCGGGGACACTGAGAGCTGATAATTTGCACATTTTTCCCGCAAGGGAAGCGAAGGTATTATCAGCATAGACTCAGACTGGCTGGCGGCAAGTTTCAAAACAAATAACACTGGCGTTCAATATATTAGACACTATATTGTATCATGCGCACGTAATAATCACGTATTATAATATTTTCCGGTTCCGATTGGAAGGGGTGTAATCCGATACGTGCGCATGATACAATATAGTGTCTAATATATAGAACGTTAGTGTTATTTGTTTTACAACTTGCCGCCAGCCAGTCTGAGTCTATGCTGATAATACCTTCGCTTCCCTAGCGGGAAAAATGTGCAAATTATCAGCTCTCGGTGTCCCCGAGTTTTAGTGGATATTTAATTCCCGGAGGGTATATCATAAAACTAAAAATTATTAAATCTTAAATTTAACAGTGGATGTGATTTAAACTAATTACATCACTACAAGTACAAATCTGTTACATTTATAGAGGATGAATACGGACGGGTCCATCTGAACATTAATACAGCAAAGTTTTAACCGAGATAACTGTTTCACTTGGTAGTCGATCAGAAAAAATAAATATCTACAAAGTTATTATTATGCAACTACATAACCATGAGCTGCTTCGTTACTAAAGAAACCTCAAACAACGTTTTTAGCTAGGTTTGTCTTCTTACTTTATCGACATTTAAATCCGCTCCTGAACCCAGTTAATGTTTGGAATCTTTCCAATTATAATAATTCGTTATTGCCTCCTTCCACATACATTCTGTGAGGATGGTGAGACTGGAAAAACAGACACTATCAAAGACCCTATCAAAACATCATGCCTACTCTGCCTAGGTCGATCCAGTTGAAGTCTGGAACTAGTTTCGGACAGCGCTTCCCTCCATTTATCTCTATCACTCATGAGCCAATCCAGTATCTTCTTCGGAAAGATCTTATGAGGTCGTCCTCTATACCGATGGCCATATTATGATGGTTGCAAGAAAAGGAGTTGCTGAGCAGGTTGGTCCTGTAGAAGGTAGAGTGTAGACCTGTCCTGCAAAACGAAGTTGTCGTGTCTTTATGGTATCTGTCACGGGTCACCGGTGGAATATTTCCGTTAAGAACAGAATTATAGGTGTGTGAGATTTACACGAGATGCCAAAGACTCTTCGTAGCATTCTTGTATAGACCCCGTCTAGTGTCAGCTTTTTTCAGGGTCCACGTTTCTGTGCCATACAGAAGAACGGATTCTACTGCAGTTCTAAAAATCTTGGTCTTGATCTTCCTAGACCATGTCAGATTTCCAGAAAGCATCTAGACTCTGCAGGGCTTTCCAAGCAATGTCGTTCCTAGTTGAAGCTACATAAGATCCTAAATATTTGAAGTCATCTACTTCTTCTAGAGAAGTGCCGTTGACAAAGACCCTTTCTCCTGAGTTGAAAGGCCTCAGAATGTTTTAGGACATGTATTTGGTCTTGTCGATGTTGATAAGTAAACCATAGGGAGCTGCAATGTGACATTGCCAATGTCAGAGATGCTTTGGCATAGGCGGCTATTCTCGCTGAAGCTGTCAGGAACTGTAGCTCAGTCGTCAGCGAAGTCCAAATAAGCTATAAAGTCAGTGCCAACTTTAAACCCATCGCGTGGCCCTATTGGCATTGCCAGTCTTAGGATGAAGTCCAGAACGATTATGAAAATGAGTGGAGCAAGAACATCGCCCTGGAGAATTCCGAGGTTGGTCAGGAATTCAAGAGTGCATTGGTATAGCATGTGACTAATAAGGTCCTATTCATATTCGAAACAGATTCTTAATCCTTATACATCACACTATCGTGTCTAATTAATGGTTAGGCCCTCAAACCAATAGCAGAAAACACTTTTTTTTGCCCGTAACAGCTTCTACTATATCTTAAGAGTAAGGTTTACAGCAATCCAGTCCCTAAGACAACCGAAGAACATGAGAGAGGCAATGAGAATGCAGTTGGGCACAGTGCAGTCTGCTGTAGACAATGGGAGACAATTGACTCACCTGATATCAATTATCAGCATGTGCTCTCCAATAAAGGACGATGGTTTGAGCAGATAATAAATTGTTTAGTCACATATTATTATGTTTCATGATTTTTTGATATATTTGTTACATTTATAACCAAAATTTAAAAATTTCTTTAATTTGTACTAAATTTGACAATAAATCAAAAACTGGACACCCTGTAAATAGTCACAATATTAATATAATTGCACACACCTGTAGATCCTGGTTGTTCACAAGCCACCATCACTGGAAAGATTGCGTTCAATATATTATGTACGGGGGAGGGGAGGGGGGGGAGGGGAGGGCCGAGGGGCAAAGTAACTTAACATACGCTGGGTCTTATACCACCAGTGTGTTTCATATTTGAGACCTGTAACTTTGCAGTCGGCATGCTTTAACTACTCATTCGAAGATTCTGTCGCCAAGTAACTTTTGCCCCCCCCCCTCCTCCCTTTCATATAGTTCCATCGACAATGAAGATGTGTAATTCATCAAAGTTGAACTGTTTATTTAAAGTTTCCTTGAAAATTATGTACCAAGCTTCATTTTGGAAACTATAAATTTCAACTTGAAACGAATTCTTCTTTGAAAGTGTTTTCTTAGAATAAATCAGTGGCACAATCAAACGACCATCACTTACCAATTTCAGCTAATAACAATAGGAGCAAGGGAAGCCTCAGACTTCTGGGAAACTTCATCGTGAGCAATATACCTTTAGGTTTCTGACACTGTCTGCTTTGTCTTTCCGATATCATATAATACGTTCTACAACTGTCAGAATAAGTGGTTTTAGTATTTGATTAAAAAACTGTGGAAATATGGTGAATTTCATTTCCTGACAAAAGTGCTTAATAGGGCAGTCGATATCGACTTTTTAGTAAGGACATGTTTTAGGGATCATTGAGAAAATATTGACCCTACAAAATTTAGAGATACTGATAGGTATTTTAAACATTTCTATTTGATTTTAAAATTAACACCTCGTTTTTATGAAGATTTTTAGAATTGATGGTGCGCTGTTTTTTACAGCCTTCTAAAAATCTTAAAAAGCGAGGTCCAAGAATTGCAAAATCGAGTAAAAATTAGTATAGGACTATCTTATCTCTTCTAAATTATCCCTAGAATATTATACTCGATTTTCTGTACCTGATTTAAAATCACTCGCACAATACAATAGCATACAAGCGTTAATCCAGAAAAGTGATACCCCAGAAAAGTTGGGGCCAGAATGGAAATAGCTCAGTGTTGTTAAATTCGATAAAGATTGGTTTAAAAGTATTCGACCTCTCAAAAAACTACGTCTAATTACGTATTAACTATTAAGTCTTTGATCATTTACATCAAACTCCTAGAGTATAGTTGTTAGATACAATATAAAATACGGAATATTTGAACTTTGCCGCGTTAGTAAAATGCTAACAGTTTGCGCGCATTATAATTTTTGTGGAGCATTATATTCCCAAAAAGTCGTACTGATAATTTCCCGCACTGATAATTTCCCGCGAGTGCTGGGATATAATAATGGAGCCACCGGCACCGTCCGGGCCTACAACAAAATATGAACACCGACTGCAAGTCACCTTGATGAGCAGTGCGTATCACATTGCACCATCTTTCACACCGAGACTGTCGTAAATTCTAAATTCGTGCCACGCTTGGATTAGTTTTTCAGTATTTTCTTCACTAGTACGTCCACAAAAGTACGGCAGTTTTGTCTAAAAACTACATATTTTTGAAAATACGCATTTAGCAAGACTGGAAATAAGTAAAGTTGTCCATACGGTCCCTTTACAGTCCCCTCCAGTTACTTATCCAGGAGGCTGTAACTTTGGCGATACATGTGTTTTATACCATACTTGATACGATTGAAAATACATTATACTCCATTATATTAAATGGAAGTTGGGTGTGTAAGAATACGAACAAAATAGTAACCATCAATTAGTAATTACTAATAATCGTAGAACATACATTGGTTTTTATAGCAGATATAACCTGATTCTTCCAAAAATATTAATATTTAAGAGGTTTTGTCGGAATCCGATACGAACACCAATCAAATTATATTTATATATATTAAGTCGGACAAGTGCAAAATCTGCAGATGATTCAGGAAAACAGTACATTTAAAAGCGTTTTCGACAGCAAGACTCCATTTTTAAGGGGAAAGTAGCGTTTCTGAAATCCGCGACAATCACCACTCCAACCGTCGTAAAAATGTTGGATAGGCATTGTCCCACAGTCGGCAGTAATTCTTTGGGTGAATCAGAATGTTGGACGTCGGCGGTTGTTTTTATTAGTTCTCAGGGAATGGAGTGTTTCTTAGCCAAAAAAATTTAGATAGAATCCAAAATTTCAAAAGGTCACTTTTGTAAGAAAACGGCAGCACTAGCAGTAAAAGAGTAAACACTAAACATGTATTGACTATTGATAGCAATAGTTCACTATGCTATCAATAGTCAATACATGTTTATATATTGACGCAATATTAACTGTGAACTTTTACCGCAATTTTAATGACGGTATTTATCAAAAACACTAAGAGTTATACGGCATTTCACGTAATGCGTGATGCGCTACGTACCGTCTAGCTAGGACCAGAGACTCGATCAGTTGATCACATACGTACAGCTATAGCTAGACAACGCATAATTCGGATACGTAACACTAACGCAATGTAACGGGATGCAAACTTTGATCCTAGCTAGACGGCACGTAAGTGACGTAACGTGTTGCGTGATCGAAAACATGTTGATAACATATGAAATCTGTATGGACAGATGTAAAATTCTTGTAGTCGTAGACCGGCAAAAGATTCCCCGATAAAGAAGCGCTTTGTCATAAGGACCTGAGACCTGCTTAACTACCTGAAATAGCATTTAAATCGATTCTTCCCAATTATTGTATGTAAAACAGTATGGAAAGCTTTCATACACAACTATGACATATTGTATATCTAATCTAACTTTATTTGAACGCTGGATGCCCTATAATCGTTCCTATTTTACATCAGTCATCATAAAAATGTTGAATGAGTAACACGTTTTTGAGAATTCACATTATAGCATCAATTTCCTCAGCATCCTTCGAGCGTTTATATTAATGTCCGTTCAGAATTATGTCCGATAAGGAGTACCTAATCAATGGGTTCGAACAGAGACTAACTAAATTTCTAGCTGTACGGCACGTACCGCACAATGCACATCACGTAACGCATCACGTGACGATATCCGTAGCGTCTAGCTAGGGTCGAATAAGCACTAAAAAAGTTAATCAGTTATCAGCTATTCTCCGTGGCAACTGTTACCGTGGCAACTGTTACCGTGGCAACTGTTACCGTGGCAACTGCTTCATAGGAAACTCAACGGGCAGTCTTGTTATATATTTATCTAATTTTATTTACGTTTTTATTGGTGAACTTATTTAAGTATTTAGTGGGTAATAGTAAAGTAGTAATACTTTAAAAACTTTGACAATGCAGGACAGCAAGATACTATGTCATCATAGTTGTTGAGTGCCAATGCATCTACCAAAACAGGTTTCTCAGTAGACCAAACAGATAGTTGTTACTGTAGATAGGTTCCGACAACAAGAGTGCTGCGGCCCGCCCGCTCACCTAGTCACTTGTTAGATTTAGTGGGTAAATCACACTATCTGTCTAATACGGACAGTAAATCTTTTATCGTTTTTTGTCGTTAAGAACGGAAAAATTTGAATAAAACTGTTTTCAGCGTCCATAACAACTAAGAATTTTTGGTAGCTGCTTGGATTCTTATTTTTCACAGCTAAGTTAGTTTAGCTGTGAAAAACGGGCAACACCATTTTATACAGAACTAGAAAGCCCGTGGTAACAGGGACGAAGCTAGTAGTATTCTTTGAAAGAAAGTTTTAATCGCATCAAAAAATATCCATCCCAACCGAAGATACAGCCGATTTAAATATAAAACACTTTAAACACAACGTAATTACCACAAAACCGATTTTAAATATAAAACACTTTAAACACAACGTAATTACCACAAAACCGTCAAAATGACGTTTAAACAATCTTTGCACGTGCGTGTGTGCATTAAAACACCGTTGCTATGGAACGTTTTGGTTGTTACCTAAATTCCTATTTCTCGTCTAATTTGCACGTGGGCGGTCGTACAGACAGACAACATAAACAATTCTTTGAATTATAGTAGAGACTAGAAAGCCCGTGGTAACAGGGACGAAGCTAGTAGTATTCTTTGAAAGAAAGTTTTAATCGCATCAAAAAAGATCCATCCCGACCGAAGATACAGCCAATTTAAATATAAAACAGTTTAAAGACAACGTAATTACCACAAAACCGATCAAAATGACGTTAAAACAATCTTTGCACGTGCACGTGCGCATTAAACACCGTTGCTATGGAACCTTTTGGTTGTTACCTAAATTCCTATTTCTCGTCTAATTTGCACGTGGGCGGTCGTACAGACATACAACAAAAACAATTCTCTGAATTATAGTAGAGATAGAGCAAGCTACATGTAAGGTCACTAAGAGAGGTCTGAGAGAATTGACGTCCTAAGCTATCTAGGGACTACCGGTGGAATATGAATAATCAAAATTCCAACAGGATCTTGTTTAAATCTTCATTGTGGAATCAGCACAATGAAGATAAAAAGATCGTGTTGGACTTTTAATTATTCATTTTCCACCGGTAGTCCCTATAAGCTATCGTTTAAATCATATCGTTCAGCGGCCAGCTTCACAAAGGTCGAGGGTAATGATCCGGAGAGGCGACAGAACACCCAATGACTATTACCGATTAGGTATACCGGTGGAAGATGAACAATTAAAATTCCAACAGGATCTTGTTCTCTTCATTGTGGAATCAGCACAATGAAGATAACAAGATACTGTTGGACTTAAACTTATTCATTTTCCACCGGTAGTCCCTATAAGCTATCGTTTAAATCATATCGTTCAGCGGCCAGCTTCACAAAGGTCGAGAGTAATTCGAAGACGCGACAGAACACCCAATGACTATTATCGATTAGCCATTAATAAAACATAGTCTTGAAGCTGGGCCGGGGAGCCAGGAATATCATACTAAATACGAGAATTATCTGAAATTGCAGTATAAATTTAACACAATCGCGTACATGGTTACCTTAATTATGTCATTCTACAGTACAACCGATCTTAACCGTTAATTATCCGAATTATCATGCATTACCCATTAATAAAACATTGAACCTGGGGTTGTGGGGTAGTGGAGTACGAGGAATATCAAACTAATATAGATACAATTTGAGGATTCTCTAAGCTCAATCTCACCTTCAGCTATTCCGCGCAGCACTCAACAGCCAAGGTATTTAAATGGTATTATAATGCGAGCGTGCTAAATCACTCTACACTCGATCTTTGAGGTTGAAACCAACTTGAATCGATGAATTTTTGAACGCTGATTCCGAATTACCCCATGGCATAGGGTTAAAATGCTCCCGTGGCAAGATATTGGCGGACAACTGTCTCGATCACGTGATATGACCGTATAAGGAAGTTGGTATAGTTTCTCGTTAGGGTTAGGGTTTCAGCATATTTGAAAACATGCATTACATGTAAGAATACGAACAAAATAGAGGAACAGCGCACCATCAATTAGTAATTACTAATAATCGTAGAACATACATTGGTTTTTATAGCAGATATAACCTGATTCTTCCAAAAATATTAATATTTAAGAATCCGATACGAACACCAATCAAATTTGTGCCCCATTTTATATCATATTTAT